CGACATCCGGTGCCAGGAGCGCGAAGTTACTCTCTATCCCGTTTCCGATCAGCCTGTTGTGTTCTTTGGGGTGAGTTCGAGGACTGTGCCTCGGTTCATCTCTTCTATGCAAGCTAGGAAGAGCCTTTCGAGGGGTAGCTGTCAAGGCTACCTTGTCTCTATGGTATCCGACGTCGTTGATGAGCGGGTGCCCGAGCGAGTATCCATTGTCTGCGAGTACCTAGACGTCTTTCCTGATGATTTGCCCGGAGGACTGCTAGACCGCCAGGTGGAGTTCACTATTGACCTGATTCCCGGAGCCGGCCCCGTTTCTAAGGCCCCTTATCGTATGGCGCCGAAGGAGCTTCAAGAGCTCAAGGCCCAGATTCAAGAGTTTCTCAAGCTCGGTTTCATTCGTCCGAGTGTTTCGCCGTGGGGTGCGCTTCTCCTATTCGTGAAGAAGAAAGATGGGTCTATGCACATGTGCATTGACTATCGGGAGTTGAACGCCCTTACAGTCAAGAACAAGTACCCCCTTCCCCGTATCGAGGACCTTTTCGACCAGCTGAGAGGAGCCAGCGTCTTCTCGAAGATTGATTTGCGTTCTGGCTATCATCAGTTGAAGATCCAAGAGTCGGATATTTCCAAGACTGCTTTCCGTACTCGCTATGGCCACTATGAGTTCGTAGTCATGCCCTTCGGACTCAGTAATGCCCCGGCCGTCTTCATGGACCTTATGAATAGGGTCTTTCATCCTTTCCTGGACCAATTCGTCATCGTGTTCATCGATGACATTCTGGTCTATTCCCGAGATGTCGATCAGCACAAGGAGCATTTGAGGATTGTGCTAGAGACCCTTCGCCGCGAGAAGTTGTATGCAAAGTTCTCGAACTGCGAATTCTGGCTGTAGCGTGTGGCATTCCTTGGCCACATTGTGACAGCTCGAGGCATTGAGGTGGATCCCAGCAAGATCGAAGCGGTGAGCAAATGGGATACGCCAAGAAGTGCCGCGGATGTTCGTAGTTTTCTGGGGCTAGCAGGATACTACAGGAGGTTTATCAAGGGTTTCTCGAAGATAGCCCAGCCGCTGACCAACCTTACGAAGAAGGCCGTGAGGTTCGATTGGAGTGCTCAGTGCGAGGAGAGTTTCCAGGAGTTGAAGGGGAGACTCACTACAGCACCGGTTCTAGCCATACCCGACCCTACTTTCGAGTTCACCGGCTATAGTGACGCTTCGAAGATGGGTTTGGGTTGCGTCCTTATGCAACAAGGGAAAGTCGTGGCCTATGCTTCGAGGCAGTTGAAGCCTCACGAGCAGAACTATCCCACTCACGATCTTGAGTTGGCCGTTGTTGTCCACGCTTTGAAGATCTGGAGGCACTATCTCTATGGAGGCAAGTGCGAGATTTTCACCGACCACAAGAGCTTGAAGTACATTTTCACTCAGAAGGAGCTGAACATGAGGCAGCGTAGGTGGTTGGAACTGGTCAAGGACTACGATTGCACCATTAGCTACCACCCTGGGAAAGCCAACGTGGTGGCCGACGCCTTTAGTCGGAGGAGCCATGGCCAGTTGTCTTGCGTGTTCACTCAGCAGGATGTTCTTCTTCGGGAGTTCGAGCGATTGCAGTTGGAGGCGGTAGAGTCGACTTCGTCAGCCGGGAGTGTTTTGACCTCTTTGGTTGTGGGACCGACTCTTCGAGAGAGGATAGTCACCGAGCAACCGAATGACCGTTTTCTATGCCGGATGAGGGAGTTGTCAGCAGCCGGTAGAGTTGGTGGATTCGCAGTCGCATCCGATGGAGCCTTGGTCTTCGAGGGTAGACTTTGTGTTCCGAGGGTGTGGGAGCTGCGGAGAGAGATTTTGAAGGAAGCCCATAGTGCTCCGTACACCATCCATCCTGGTAGCACGAAGATGTATCAGGACCTGAGGAAATCGTTCTGGTGGCGTGGCATGAAGAGGCAGACGGCAAAGTTTGTGGATGGATGCCTGGTGTGTCAGCAAGTGAAGGCTGAGCGCCAGAAACCGAGAGGATTGTTGCAGCCTCTGGAGGTTCCCCAGTGGAAGTGGGATTGCATCACTATGGATTTCTTGGTTGGATTGCCGAGATCGAGGAGCGGTTGTGATTCGATTTGGGTGATAGTGGATCGCCTTACAAAGTCCACCCATTTTCTGCCTGTCCGGACGACCATGAAGGCGAGTGATTACGCCGAATTGTTCGTCAAGGACATCGTCAAGCTTCATGGAGTGCCCGTGGAGATTGTTTCGGATCGAGATGCCAAGTTCACGTCCCAGTTCTGGAGGACGTTGCACCGAGCCATGGGGACGAGGTTGGAGTTTAGTACAGCCTTTCACCCCCAGACGGATGGTCAGTCAAAGCGTGTGATCCAGTACTTGGAGGATATCTTGAGGGCTGTGGTCTTGGACCGAAGC